CGTTTTTACCCCTATTTACTCTTATATTCCTCGACTTTTTTAAATGTATATGAATTTGCTTCGAAACGCGATGGTGCGATAAATATATGTTATCCATATCAAATATCGGTTTCGTGTTCGAAAACAAGCCTTTCCGGAGCCATTGATTAGTTTTTCGTTTTTGCCCCAATTTACTCTTATTTTCCTCGACTTCATTAAATGTATCCGATTTTGCTACGAAATGCGATGGTGCGAGAAATATATGTTATTCACATCAAATAATGGTGTCGTGTTCGAAAATATGCCTTGCCAGAGACGTTGATTATTTTTTCGTTTTTGCCCCTATTTACTCTTATTTTCCTCGACTTCTTTAAATGTATATGATTTGGTTTCGAAACACGATGGTCCGAGAAATATATGTTACTCACATCAAATAATGGTGTCGTGTTCGAAAACAAGCCTTTCCGGAGATGCTGATTATTTCTCGTTTTTGCCCCTATTTACTCTTATTTTCCTCGACTTCTTTAAATGTATACGATTTTGCTACAAAACGCGATGGTGCGAGAAATATATGTTATTCACATCAAATAATGGTGCTGTGTTCGAAAATAAGCCTTTCCAGAGACGTTGATTATTTTTTCGTTTTTGCCCCAATTACTCTTATTTTCCTCGACTTCATAAAATGTATACGAATTTGCTTCGAAACGCGATGGTGCGAGAAATATATGTTATCCACATTAAATGATGCTATCGTGTTTGAAAACAAGCCTTTCGAGAAATATATGTTATCCACATTCAATATGCTGAGGTGTGTCCAAGCTATCAGGAACCACGAACTGTAAGACTCCCTCAGTCGACCTGAGATATTGCGTCGAGTCGACTGGGTCGCATTCAACTGTTAGTAGACCCTAATACGTCTGACCGTTGTCTTACCAGAGGTCGACTTATTCTAGTCGATAGGTGTACGTCGACTCGGTCGAGAGCCGGGCTTCTCGACTGAGTATCGTGGAACCTTACTAATAGAGTCGACTTTGTCGAAGTCGACTTGGTGGTCTCGAACCGTGATGATATGAACCGCTATGAGCCAATTGTGGCAATGCCACGGTTACTGAACCAATACATGACAGTATGGCTATATCATCTAGTCCCCCCCCAAAATTACTCGAAGCGATTCTGAGCTTACGAGTAGATTTTGTCGACTGGATGTTTTCCTCGAATCTTTTCATATGTCCCGTCATCAGTTGTCATCTCGGGTTGCATCCATTCATTACCTCAACTTGTAATACGACTCGTTTTTCGCGAATTTTGACTTGATTAGATAAGTCTGAATCTTTTCAAATTTCAAAATTCAAAAGATAAACGTTTTCTCTCTCCGCCGTTTCGTATTCTGTGCCTCATCTTGGCCGTTGAAAATGACTTTAATCCGAGGGCTGGGGTTTCTTTGCCCTCTCTATAAGTAACCCTTGCCTTTCCTCTTCATCATTTTTCGCACTCGCCTCCTTCAAGACCTCTGTCTTTCTCCGACAATCACAGCTTTCTCAAGTTCCCGGCGCTCTAATTTTCCGGCGTTCTTCTCCGATTTTTCAAGACTTTTCGTCAAGCATCATGAGCATGAGTAAGTTTTCTTTGCCTGTTCGACTTGTTTTCATATGTTCAAAATAAGAGACTTTTTCGTTTTTCTGGGTAATTTATCTGGAGATAAAAACATTTTCATTTTCTGGGAATTGCATGTGGATTTTCTGGCGATTTTCCTGTTGAATCTCTAATTGTAAGTTTTTCATCTTTTCAAGTGTTCGTCCTTCGTTAGTCGTCTTGTTATGAGATCGACTTCCTTCCTTTCCCGACTTGACCTTCATTTGTCAAGTCAAATCGATAGGGGAACTACTTATTTCTTCTTCCTTTCTTCCCGTTGTCGAGGCGTTTTCTCGCGTCATCCTGACTATTTTGTTGAACCTTTTCTTTGAATCGAATCGTGATTTCTGACCACCTTTCTTGATTGCCATTCTTTATCTTCTTAGATTCCGACCTCGACCCTATTTTTGACCCCGTCTCCGGCTCTCTTGCCCGTGAGATCGATAACTACTCGGATTCGGACTCTGTTCATCTGAACAATGTCGAGCCATATTCTCATCTGAACGTCGAGCCGGAGGATTTTGTCCATTCGCCCACCTCACCTTTTGGCATCGACTGGGCCGTGTATAACCAGGCGCTACTTTCGGGTACCCTTTGTGAGGATCCCGAAGTTCTCAACACCCTTGAAACTTCCTACCCCGACTTGGCTCCTCGAGGTATTTTCCGCTAGATTTTTTCGAACACCCCTCTGTATGCGGCCTGCCTTGCTCCTTTATCACGACTTTCCTTAATCGAGTCTGCAACTATTAGCGTGTTCCATAGTTCTTACTATCATTTTCTTTATGCTCCTGCAGCCGAAATCGATGGCTTCAGGGAGTTCAGTGGCCTTCCCGCAGATTGGGCTGTAGTTGCTCCCAAGCCTGAAGACGACTTTCGTCATCCTCCGAAGG